ATTATAGTTATTTCATTGACACATTTTATCGATGATTGTTATGGGTTTATTTACATCAGTCTTTAGATGGTCATTTGTGCCATAGTAACCGGCATAGTTGTTTGTACCATGGTTGCTATATGGTCATCTGTGCCATAGTTACCGAAATAGTTGTTTGTACCATGGTTGCTATATAGTCACCTGTGCCATAGTTACCGGAATAGTTGTTTGTACCATGGTTGCTATATGGTCACCTGTGCCATAGTTACCGGAATAGTTGTTTGTACCATGGTTGCTATATGGTCACCCGTGCCATAGTTACGTGGTCGTTTGTACCAAAAAAATGACCGTTTGTGCCATAGTTATATGCTCATTTGTACCATAGTTACCTAGTTAATTTTAGTAAAAAAAAGCCGTTTGTGCCAAAAAAATTGGTCACATGTGCCAAAAAAATGGTCGTTTGTGCCAAAAAAATGGTCACATGTGCCAAAAAAATGGCCATTTTGACCGCGTTACCGACAGACAGACAGACAGACAGACAGACAGACAGACAGACAGACAGACGGACAGACAGACAGACACAGGTGAATTTCGGTTTCTAGACCCTAGCCTTTCAGTCTAGGGAATATAATAATAGAACTGTCGTGGCTGGTGGCCATGGCAATGGTGATGGTCTCAATCAATTCAACTCTCCCGCCTATATCTTTTTCGATCGACAACAGACTGTCTACGTGTCAGACATAAACAACAATCGTGTCATGAAATGGAATAAACATGCAAAAGAAGGAATTATCGCCGCTGGAGGTCAAGGCGAAGGAAATGCTCTGAAACAATTGTCGCATCCTAACGGACTGTTCGTCGATACGTTGGGTACCGTCTATGTGGCAGACTCCGGAAATCATCGAGTAATGCGTTGGCCTAAAGGAGCAAAACAGGGTACTGTCATTGCGGGTGGAAACGGCAAAGGAGAAGGAGCAAATCAGTTCAACTATCCCATTGGTTTATCCTTCGATCGACATGGTAATCTACATGTCGTTGATTGGGGGAATGTGCGTGTCCAACGATTTTCTATCGAATAGACTTAATACGACGGATTTTTTTTTCTCTTCTTCTTTCAAATAAATCACGTTGAATTAATGAAACGAATGCCTATTCTAATCGCTCACGTATGTGTTCAGAAAGCATCATGGTGGAGCTGTGGCGAGTGTGTGGGTGTTTGAAAATATTACCCACATCCACACCCACATCCACACGCACACCCACACTCACACCCACATCCACACCCGCACTCACATCCACACCCACACCCACAGCCACAGCCACACCCACACCCACACCCACACCCATACCCACACCCACACCCACATCCACACCCACACCCACACCCACACCCACACCCACACC